CTGATGTGGCTGAAGCTCCGACTTCCTTCCTTTAATCATTACTTTTGTGTTCTTTATCGTTCCCCCAATAGTGTTCCATGTTTGATTTTCTATCTTCGAACATTGAACGCCTGTTTGCAACCGTCCCCAACTGCCATGTTACCATCTTGAGAGACTTCAACGTTCATAATCTGTATTGGTGGACGATAAAATTCAACCAACTGGGCCGGTTTCCGTGATTTCCTACCTTCTTATCCCTGGAACATTTCCGAATCTGTTCCTAACTTTACGGACATTGTTTTTCGAGGTATGCATCTTTTTATTCCGCACTTTTTCAAACCCGGCAAGCCCAAATCCCCCGAGTGGTTTAACCATGCATGTGACCGTGCTGTACGCCTGAAACGTTCAGCCTTCCACCGCTGGCGCCGCTCGCTGACTCATACCATCGTTTCGTGCAAGCGATGCTGGGCGACCATTCAGAGAATCAAAGAACGTTTCGTTCCCCGTAACGCCCAAAACTTGGTCTCGTCCGCCACCGGTAGCCGAACATTTTGGTCCCTTGCCAGAGCAATTTTCCGTAATTTCTGCCCTTCCGACTTCCCCCCTATCTGTAATTCATCTGCTGATCTTGGTTGTCAACCACACGAGAAATCTGAAGTTTTTGCCTCCCCGTTTGCCGCCGATTCCACCTTACCCAATTATCCTGCACGTTCACCTTCCTTCTTCCCTGGCAGCTCTTTTCTACCTCATATCAGCACTAGGAAAATCCGTCAAACATTGCACTCTCTAAACGCAAACCAATCACCCGGCCCGGACACTATTCCACCCCATCGTCCTCAAAATGTGTGTTCCAGGGCTGGTTTTTATCTTACGTCGTCTTTTCAATTTTTCCCTGCAACTTTCTTCTTTCCCAACCCCTTGGAAGCACACCGCCATTTTTCCCAAAGTCGGCGACCTTTCTGACCCCAACAAGTACCGACCCATTTTTCCTCACATCTGTTCTTTCGAAAGTACTTGAAACTATCATCTTTGACTAACTACGAATGTTCCTCGGACGCGAAGGATCACTGAGCGACCGCCAGAATCGCTTCCAATAGCGTCGTTCCACCGGTAACCTGCTGGATCTTGTCTCACAATCCTGGTCAGCTGCACTCTATAACCACGAAGAAGCACACTTGGTTCCGCTTGACATCTTAATGGCCTTCGACCGAGTATAACCTAAAGGTCTACTGGCGAAACTACCCACGTTTGTGTTCTCGCCGGCGCTCGCATCGTGGATAGCAAGTTTCCTCAGTAAGCGAACCATCTCCGTCCGGGTTGATGGAGTTTTATCTCAGCCATTCCCTGTGAATGCTGGTGTTCCGAAGATTCAGTACTTGTGCCCACCCTCTACTATTCATCAATGACCACCTTTCCGACGATTCCACCATCCACTGCTCCCTCCTACCGCACTACTCGTCAGGCACAAACCAACATCGATGGCCACCGTAGTGCAATTAATGTGTCCCTTTACTCCTATCTTGAACACATCTCCTCCTGGGGCTTTACAAATCACGTTTTATTCAATTGTTCTAAATCCTCTCATCTTTCGATTTCTTTAAAACACCATTCATTTATCTTTTGATTCCACTCAACTGCGTTCCACAGACTCTGTTTCCCTTTTTGGATTGCCTATAACTTCTTTAGGCTTGTCGCCTTTCATAACTAACCTTGCTTCTCGTGCTGCGCCCAAGGTTAGTTTTTTATTTCGCGCCAGATCTTTTTCACCCCAGTTCATCTGCTGTACAAACCTAAGTTTCGCCCTGCTCTTGAATACTGTAGTCATGTGTGGGTTGGGGCCCTCGTCTTCTTCTCTTTCCCTTCTTGATCGTGTTCAACGAAAGACCATCTGGCTAATCGATGATCCTTCTCTAACGTCCAATCTGCAGTCATTAACCCATCTTCGGGCGGTTGCTTCATTGTCGTTTGCTCTACCGTTATTACTTTGATTTTCGTTCTTCGGAATTTATCTCGGCTGTTCCTCTTCCTGCAACTTTTCCCCGCCCATCCCGTACACAGACATCTAGTCATCCTTTTCATATTTCAGTTCCCAAATGTCGTACTTCTCTGCTCCAATCTTCTTTTTTCCCCGAACTGCCAAGCTGTGGAACACCCTCCCACTTTCTGTTTTTCCCTCAACTTACAATCTTACACTCTTTAAGCGCGGAATCAATAAACTGGATCTTACGTGAATGTTCCCCTGCTCTCCCTTTTACAATATGCTATTTGTCTATGGGGATTTCCCTTTTTACTATAACTCACATTGTGTAATAAAAAGACGTACTACCAGACAGCCTAGTGGTTTGTAGTAGTGCTAGCACCAGTGTGGAGAAGCTTGCCAGCTAGACACATTTGAGTTCGCGAACAACCTCAATGAACGGAACTTGAAGAATGATCAAATGTTCTATTTTGATGTGTTGTCTCTGTTCCCGAATATATCACTCTTGGGAACGAACATTGATGGCAAACAAATACGATTCCCCTTGGTTGGTTTGGAACTAGGGTTTTTGGCCAAATCTCCTAGGTGAACTACCAGTAGTTCAACCTCGTTATCGCCCCGGATGTCGGCCTTTCGTCCTCTCACTTTGGTGGGAAAACACCTCCGCCACGAGAAGGCAGTGTGTAAGGCTTCCTCAGCAGAAGCTATTTGAGACGCTTGGTTGCATGGGAGCATTTCACGAGGTGCAAGGGAAGAGTGACCAGCCACAACCCTATACACCCACCGCCAACCATACTGAGGCTTTTGGAGGCACATAATAAATACCGATGGAGTTACCAATGAAGAATATGAAAGAATTATTGCCGAGATGTACACTCAGTGTCCAATCTCTATTTGCTGGAAGAATTTAATTGTGGAATGGAGTGCCCATGGATTATTTCCCATTAGGTCAACTCTTAGCGGTTATATTTATGATCGAACTAGAAAATACAACGTTGGAATAAGAAATTGAGAATAACATCAACCAGGCTTTGTTTTACCGACAGTCTGCACTGATATATATATATATATATATATAACCAATTACATGGGATTGGCAGATGTGCCACATAATATGAAAATAAGGACGTGTAAAGGGATTAATTACAAATCAACGAAATCTATTGCTTCAATAAGGATCCTTGGTTTCCTGTACTTGATATTCTTTTCCTACCACTGCACATGTTCGTGACTGCATTCACTTGACGTAGTTCTAGGGAAAGATGTTAGCGTGCTAGGATTGTACCCAGGATAAATGATTTTCTGGTTGATGCAGTAAGTTTTTGAAAGGTACGACCCGAGTTTATATTGCACCATGAGAGATTCACATTAACACGATGTACGCTTCACGTGCTTTTAGAAGAAAATAATCTATCGCTTAGATGTGCAGCTTCAAACCGGTTGCACATGAAGGTCATCATCAATGCTGATTATTTCTATATTACCGAAGCAGCTTCAGGTTGCTGAGATGTCGTACTTTAGTTGCGTGCGAATGACAAATCTGAATTTCTTTATCGAATTTTCCATCTTAGAAGATGTGAATCGCTTAGATATGCTCCTCAAGCTGAAGCCAATGCCAGTCAGTCCTAATGGTTCACGCCTATGCATATGCACTGATCAATTGCACTTGACATACTGGAGAACTCATTGTGGGTAAAAGCTCGGTGAATTCAGATGATAATGATGGCATCAAATGTATTTTTACTGGCCATTCGACCAATGAAATGATCAATGTGTGCGACGTTGTCTGATTGTTTTTACAGTGTTCAGTGCTCAGTTTTTTGTTCTTTCTACATATCGCGCTGTTTCCGCCAAAAAACACAATTTAGCGGCATTCAAGGCCTTCCTTGATTTAAGAATGTCCTCCGATGATGAGACCTTCCTCTTTAGTCTACGAAGCTATCAGTCAACTGAAACGTTTGGTAGCCCCATATCTGGAACACTTCTACACTTCAGAATTTGTTTCGTTTCTTCGTACTACGATTCATCTGTCACAATGTAAGCATGTGCAATGAAACAATCGATATACGTCGGCTCCATTTAAGCTGTGATTCCCATTTCATCGTTTTGTGAAATTCGTCATTTCGTTATTTAGAACATTAGCGCGATATCCCATTCGAAATGGGAAACTGCTTTTGCCAATGGTGACTTTTATTTGCTTCATCTCGGGTAACTCCTTCTGCTACTCTGATTGGATACAAAATGTTAGCTACTTTACGGCAGTTTATCCGCCGCTGAATTTGTTCATCTAAAAGCCGTCGACGTTTTATCGTGACTCTTTTACGTACCGCTATGTTATATAGGAAGCCAAAACGGATATTCGTATTTGATGGCTTTCTAGTGAGATCACCTGGAAAGTGATCCAATTTGTGCATCAGAATAGTGTTATCCGAATTATTGTAGACGACGGCGCTTTGATGTAGAGTGCAGACAAATTGTTCATTGGAATAATAATTTCCATCTTGTATTCTTTTGTCAATTTTTCATGCATCCGAATTATGGGAATATCTTAAGTTCTCCCGTTACCATCAGATGAAGTAGGACTACTCAGATGAGAAAACTATATATATATTCTCGAAAACAGTTGGGATAAACTTTCTCCTTTCCAGTTTTGGAGCACTTTTTATTTGACCATTCATCGAAGAATAAACTTAACAGTAGCAATATTTTTTTTGCTGGTATTCACATTACTTAGGTGATATCCACGGGCAATACAAAGATCTTTTGCGTCTATTCGATTTGGGTGGCTTTCCGCCAACCTCCAATTATTTATTTTTGGGCGATTACGTGGATCGAGGTAAACAGAGCTTGGAAACCATTTGTTTGTTGCTGGCTTACAAGATTCGTTACCCGGAAAACTTCTTTCTCCTACGCGGAAACCACGAATGTGCCGCGGTCAATCGGATCTACGGATTTTACGATGAATGTGAGTTGATACTGAATTTACTCGTCTGCCACTGAATAGGAGAAAAAACAAATAAGACAACATTGTCGTCCATTTGTCGTACTTCCGCTGACTATATACAGTATTGATACTATTGTTATTATCTTTTCGCTCAAAATTGAATGGTTTTAGGTTGTCGACGTTTTGGCCCTCGGTTATGGAAGACATTCACAGATTGCTTCAATTGCATGCCAGTCGCAGCCATCGTTGGTGACAAGATCTTTTGTTGTCATGGAGGTAGGCGGTTCCTTTTTATACTCTGTTTCTGCTGTTTGTTACACAGTCCAGCACATAAATTCACATGATACCATCTTATAAAAAGTAGATTATAATTCATTCATTAAATTTTTTTATTTAATTGTTCGTAGACAGGTTGTGTAGTGATTTCAATCAATGTGACAGGTGATTCAGTCTCTTCTCTAGCGTTGCATTTTGAGTAGTCTGTAGCGGGCATTACAAGTGCACCGCTTCTAGGGCGGTGCAATTCAATTGTGATGGGTTTCACTCTCAAATTACAAAATGGTTCCCTGCAAGCTGAATTCATTAAATGACAAGCATATCCTATTGGCCCCTGTTTCTAACCTCCGTCTTTGGTTTTATCAGAAATTTCAATAAAATCATCGGAGTTGAATAATGATAATAATAGTAATGATGAAAAGTTTGATGGACAAGGATACCGCCAGTATTTAAGAAAAGGAGTAGTCGCTGATTCCAGTCCTCCACACAAGAAATGGGCAAGTAGTACGATGGTGCCGGACGCCCTATACTACTTGATCGTAGGCTTGTGCTATTAAACTAGAGCGCTTTTTTGTTTTGCTCACTAAGGCATCTTGCCGAGTGACACCCATCCAATACCCCAAATTCTGTGTTTATCAAATCTCGTGGATCACTGAAGAATGTGTTTNAACGAAAGACGTCGTTGGAGAAACGGTACGGATGCCTGATGACCTGCCTGCATTCACGAGCTTTGCATATAGAGACCGTGCACAGCATGTCGACCGACTCCTTTCTTATGGCCTGGCATTTTGATAGAGGCCACCAATCTAATGCCCCAATTTCAGTGTATGTCGAAACTCGTGGATCACTGAAAAATGTGTTTAGCGGTTTCTTGTCCGGATAGCATTGCCACAACATTTATTCCTCATCCAACTGTCTATTGTAACGACTGTCGGACTAATTACATTTTCCTCCCGCAAATCTGGTTGTTTATATATCAATTCAATTTTCGGGAAGTGCAAAATCATAAATTTAAGGTTATCAGCGGGTTGATTTTAACTTCTGTACATTATCATGATGCTCATAGAGTAAGGGATGAGCACTGTGAGACGTAGCACTTTTGTGACGACGGCGCATGCAATGGTTCGGTCATGTCCTGTGTAGGCCGACCATTGTTCTGACTATACAAACCCTCACCCCAACGTCTTGTCCAGAATGGGGCTGGCGTCAGCTGGGGTCAGCTGAATGCCTTGATCAGCACTTTGAAATGCGACATGGAATGCTTGGACCTCACAACTGCCTGTGACTCCGTAGGTTGCAACCTAAGGTGAATAGTAATCTGTGTTGATCCCTCCACCGACCGTAGGGACGTCCATGAAGCCGAGTCATCTTCTCTTAGGTGTTAGTCGCTTAAAATTGTAAGTAAAAGTAAGTATGCTGTGTCTTCGAAACACGCATACTGGATGCTATTTTATCACTCTTTAATTCAGATTTACCATTTTACTCATACTTCATTCTCCGTTTGTCGGACAATTTGGCGTCTAACGCTTGTGATTTTGCCGGCGCGCAGGGGGCGGGGGATCGCGTTGTTCAAGATTTAGTGTTTACTTGACTGGATTTCGGTCAGTATTCGAATGTGTGCTTTGCCACTTGCCGGTTCGGTGCGGGTTAACAGCATCAGAGTTGAGCGTCATTGCTCATTCATGGTGTCTGGCTATGCACCGACTGACTGTAGCTTGCTTTGACTGAGAACTGAATTCAATTCGGTTGCTGCAGTGTTGACTTGTCGACGTTATAGTTATCGCTGGTGACCTAAATGCTCACGGAAAGGTGTCTGGGTGGCCCGCATGTTTCTCTGTCCAGCTGACCAAACGAACAGTAGAGAATGGCCCCTTTAAGTTTTCCAGAAAGCACAGGTTGCTACTATTAAGTAGTAGTAGCAGTATACCGTCACGAGCGATATGGTTATAATACGAAGTCGAAGCAAAGCGTTTTCGGATACCCGTACGAGATGCAAATGACCGGATAAGAAAAATGTAGACTGTAATATTTCGTGAAAGTTGTTCACTGCTTACAGCTCAGAACCAAATATCAAATAACGAACGCAGCTCACAAGTCATAACGGCGCTATACTCAGACTTCAGTCGACGTCATCAGAGCGCGATGATTATCTACTACTGCAAATACGGTTTAAAGCAGCAGCAGAATAATGATTGTTTGCTAGCTTTCTTTGGTGATGACAGACCTTGAAGAAGCACGGTTTCTGAGTGGTTTGCGTAATTCAAGTATGGCAGGCGGCCCCTGGATGATGAGACACGGGGAGGTCTACCTTTTGAGGCCACCACAGCAGGCACCATTATTTCTGTGCAGGCGATTGTGAAGGTGGGTGCACAGGTGACAGTGGCACAGCGAGCAAAAGCCATCGGGATCTCATTGGGATCAGTCGGCACCATCCCACATGTGAAGCTCAGTCTCGATTGGGTTAGCTCACGCTGGGTACACGATGCGCTCAGTGAGGAACAGAAGACAATTCGGGCTTATTTTTATGTAACTAATAAAACGTTTTGTGCATTCGGAAACGTTTGGTTCAGCCCTGGTATTATTCTTTTTCCTCACTAGTTTCACTGATCATACTTTGAGACAGTAAATTTTCGGGAACGGGGCTGCTGCCAATCATAGACTGCCTCGGATATTACAGGGGGAGGGAATCGAACTCACGAACTTTGGATCCCTGTACTGATGATCCCAACCGCTAGGCCACCGACAATGCTGCCTGTGCCTGTTAATCAATCGCAAACACCCTCCGGAGTCCGAGACCAACAACGATATGTAAGGTAAACCTCCAAAATGGATGTAGGAGTGGACCTATGCGATCGCCTCTGAATTCAACCATTTATCAAAGGGCTTGGTGGACATTTTGAGGTGATAAAGTAGGCAGTTCAAACTGCGGTCAAATAAACCGTTGCACAAAAACGCAAGTTTAACAACTATATGCGTGACAGATGATGATGTAAGTAGAGGTCTAACTGTGCACGTGATCAAAATAACTTATCTTCTCTATCAGCTTCTCGGCGGCCGTGCGATTGGGAGTAGTTCGTATCCAGTGTTATCATCAAATTTATCCTAAAACTAACTAAATAAGGATTAGAAATAAAAGTGACAATGGCTTGCACCCTAATTGGATTTCCAATCAACTGAGGTAATCGTTGTATGAACACCAGCCAGTGACTCAGCTATATTTTGCGTATGCCTATCCATCGTCTGCCCTTCCGAGCTCTTTCATCGCACGTACTGAGCAGAGCTGGAGGAATCGACGAGACGGTCAGATTATGTTTAAATCTCATTCCACATTCAGACAGCTGAATTGACAAAATTTGACCGAATCGCATGGATATACTCTTTTTCCTTATTTTCCTTTTCCTTTCGTTTCCCAATCACGCTACAATAGGTTTGTCTCCTGATTTACAAAGCATGAATCAAATTCGAAGAATTGCTCGACCGACTGATGTACCCGACTCGGGTAAGTTTACCCGTTATTTGTTTGTCAGTCAACTTGACTTCATGTCTCTACGGTGACTGTTCACGATGGTTTTCCGTGTGTTCCGTTGATGTCATGATAGTGCCAATTCATGTGTATTAGTTTCCGGTAAATGGTCTTTTCGGGACTTTATGCTACAGGTTCCCCGATGAGTATTACGTATCCTTGGAGGAAACAATGAGTTTAGTCTATGTTGCTATTAAAGGAGCATTGCATTTCATGCGTCCTGTGTGATATTAATAAATCCCTCCTGGGTATGATTTTATCTGCTTCAAATAGGATACGAAAAAATCTAAAGAATGTGGCTGTAAAATTTGAGTTTTTATTTGCTCCTTTAAATTTTTTGATAATTCCGTGCTCTTTGTTTTCCACCGTCTGTTCCATCATCATTACGATGGTGCTCGTAGCTTTTCACAACTCGTTCCGTCCGGTCTTGGCTAAGCATGTGCGTGTTAGGTTTGATTCCAAATACGTATACTCACTCAATTTTCGTGACTGAAATTTCAGACGAGAAACTCATTTCGCGTTTGACAGATATCATAAGTAGGATAACTGTGGAGAACGAATTGCTGTACATTTGCGACGCATTACCGACACCATTGCGTGTTATCATCTCGACCGACGAAAGCGCCATGCTATTGACACACACACAGATCTGCGCAATCAGGTTCCGGTTTGATGACCAGTTTGTTCACATTATATCCCATCACAGGTCTTCTTTGCGATTTGTTATGGTCCGATCCGAATCCGAACATAAACGGGTGGATTGAGAGCAATCGGAATGTGAGTTTTCATTTCGGAGTTGATGTGGTCAGTCGGTTTCTCGAGCGGCACAACTTCGACTTGATTTGTCGTGCACACGAAGTGGTCGAAGATGGCTACGAATTTTTCGGTCGGCGTCAATTGGTCACCATCTTCTCCGCACCGAATTATTGCAACGAGATGAACAATGCTGGTGGCATGATGAAAGTGGATGAAAATCTGACTTGTTCCTTTCAGGTAAAAATGAAAATTAAACGAAAACTTCCATTTTCCCTTCGCTACAACCCTCTTATCGCAGTAACATCTTATCTCATATAGTATATGTATGTTTATGTCAAACATCTGGGTCCAGACGGTACAATAATCTTTATTAAATATAGTTCCATGATTTTTTCGTGGAAGTGGTACAGTTCGGTTGCCCTGGTCAAGGCAGGTGAATTTTCTTGGGGAGTCCGTAACCGGAGCCTTCGGCTAACCATAGTCTGACCCGTAAGGCGGCGAGGGGGTGCATGAAAACCGCAGTTAATCGGATGCCGGTGTCCAGTTGGTCGGATCATACACCCTTTGGACGAGGTCAAACGTCTAAGGTGATCAATGCATCTCGATCCCTAATCGAACTGATCACTGATACCGAAACCAAGATGGTGTAAGCGTGTGTGGTTCATACGCCTCTTGTTTGCTTTGGAATCGTGACTTTAACCATTCGTTCACTGACCTGTTTATAGCCTCAGATGTTGGGTTTTCGTCCTCTCACTTTAACGGAAAGACCTTTGCCATGGGAAAAAAATGTGTTGGGCTTCTTCACTGGAGGCTGTTCGAGACTCTTGGTCGTAGGAGAGCATTTTACGAGGTGCAAAGGAAGAGTGACCAGCCACAACCCAAGGCACCCACCCCCGACCATACTGAGGTCTTCAGAGGTATCCCATACATAAGGAGCGTGTGGCGTATACGTATTTGCCCTGTGATTGCGTTGGGACCGAATGCGTACGTTTAGTGTTTTGTTATTTCACTGTTGTTCCAGTAAAAGCGAACGATTTACCTGGGAGACCGCACCTGAAAGGCTTCCTGAATGCTCTACTTCACCGGTAACATTTTATGCTACCAAGACTTCTTTACTTTTACTCCAGTATTTTTTGCTACTTTTTACCAACTTGTCTGATCATCGAACTGAATTCTGCCTCGAAACGAATCAGTGTTCGCCGTCTCCAAGTCCTCGTTCTTACGATTTGCGATGGTTCACTGATAGTTCGGTGAATTCCCCCACCCCCCTCCGTTGATGAGTTCGGTATCGGTGACACACCAACCGATTTAAAACCATGGTTTTTGTTCTATACTGTCTCATCTCATTTGTTATGCATTCACCGCTAAGATGTACTGAGTTGAATGTCGCTCACACCGGGAATGTGAACGCTAGAATCGTTTTGAGAAGGACCTATTCTAAGCTACACGTTTCATTTAGCAAAACATTCAGTTCTTGAGAAAATTAGACATTTTAATGTCATGAACAAAGTGACATTTGTTCGTGAAATGCAGCGATTTTATTGCATTCCACGGTTTACGATGCAGTTAAAAAGAGGTGTCTCGTAATTACAGACAAAATATTCTCAGAAGTTTTCTTTCTAGTTCCACATACAATAGTAATAAAATATGATTTGGCAAATACTTGGTGCATTTCCCACGTGATGATCGGGAATAAGCAGTAGAAGAGCAAATGATCTATTTTTGGTTTAGCTAAGTATTCTCTACGGCCAACTGTGTTAATATCTGACCCTGTTCTCTGAACGAAGTTGCTGCGTTTTGGGAATGGGTCCTCACTTCAATTTGTGTGGCAGAAAGCATAATTTCTCGTCATCGAGTAATTGCCGTGCACACAACAAAGTTTGTACTTTTGCACCCCGTCGAAAACGGTTTAGTGCCGATCGGTAAACGGTGGCATCTTAGCATCATTTTGTACCTATTTTTCATGTCGATTCTTGTCTTTTATTGATCAGCAGGATTGTTCAAAATCATCTAGCCCCTATTCTTCACGTGATCTACCGAAACAGGGGTAGAAGGGCGGAGGGGGTGGCGTCGCACAGCAAGTGTGCTGCGATGATCATCGATTTCTCATTCATACATATTACAAATCGAAAAACCGTTTGATACGAATGAGCTATTTAATTAAGCAGAATGGTGTACTCTCTGATCTACGTCATCACGTTGCGGTTGTTATTACATGCTTTTTAATATAAGAACCATCAGTTTGGGCCTTTAAAATTCATTTTTGAACCTTCGTGCCAGCGTAAGCTGTGGGTATTGACATATTCAGGTTTTATTATTATCATTTTCAAACAGTCACTCACAACTGGTTGTTGATTATCGGCTATTCATCCCCTTATTTGCGTCAGATCATTTCGCACTGGTACCATTGTGAAGTGGTGACAAGCATTCATCAAACTTGTCAACCTGAGTCCATAATCATGCTCCATAGTCACTGTTCACATGCCCTGGCACTGTTTGCATGCCGCGATGGAACCCCAAGGCGCTTGTCAATAACAATGAGGAATTACAGTAGCATGCTTTCTCTAAGAAAGAGATCGGTCACATGATTATAAAAAAAACATCTGGGAGATGCATATTCGTTGAATGTGTGGTGTAATCCGGAACCTTCCTCTCTTGATTAGAATAAAGCATTTATGCTCATTGCACACAATATAGTTCCTTTTAAATGCGTTTTTTTATCCAGCTCGTAACCGGAGTGGCATCTGAATAACAAGCTGACCTTAAGCCAGTGTCTGAGAAGTTTAACTGACGGCTAGTTCATCCATGCGCAGATGAAGGCAATGACTCCTGGGTCCTTCGGACTATCTGGGTTTCTTGTATCGTATTGCCTGCAATTGTCCGTGCACATCTTTTTCATAACAGGCGCTCGCATACACCCTTCAGAGAACAGGGCTCTACGCTGAGAGGAAGGCATATGTGAAACAAAAGTTGTCAACATAAAAGTGCACAGGAGACAATCTCAATACAAGATATAGAAATCTATCAGTGAACGAATCAATCCTTATAAAAGAGGTGAACTGCAGGCTTTGAAATACACTGCTCAGGAGTGAGAGACAGAACAATGGAATTGAAATCCGATTTCCAGTTTCACTGTTGAGACTGCTGATGTTTTACGTTAAAAACGACTTGTTAAGGAGGAGGTCGGTTCACGGTACTATAGCCATTTGAAAAAAAGATTGAGGTACGGAAGCTTGGTCTTTCGAACTAAGGTGGTCTCTTATGCATTAAAAATCTGGATTATGCCGAGAGAGAGGGATATGCGCACCATCCAAAGCGAGCACAAGTGAGAACAAGCAATCAGATTGAATACCGGATGTGGTTCTATATGACATGCGGGTATAAGAGTGAACAGTTCACGCTAGAGAACCAGTTTGATTTTAGACCAGGTCGAGGTTCTGTAGACCACATTTTCACCCTTCATCAAATTCAGAACACCGACACTCCTTTTGTAGACCCACCATTTCTGTCTTCCTCGATCTGTAGGCGCCTTTCGACTCAGGCGCTACCTCCATCTGGGGTATGTGCTCGAGAAATTCGTTTTAATATTACGATCCCTTCTTACTAATAGCCGAAATCGAGTTCGAGCTTACGACACTTTTTCGCCCGAGCTCACTACAGAAAATGGTGTTCGTCAAGGTTTTCCTCTCTCTCCTGTTCTATTTAATTTTGTGATAGATTTGATTCTTGAAACAGCCCTATCCTCGTGTTCTGAGATTAGCGTGGATTTTCTCCCTGTTGGTAGACTGTAAGATCTAGAGTATGCAGACTACATTGTAATGCTAATTGAAGATCCGGGTAAGTTGCAAGTTTTTCTGGATAGCTTATTGCTTGCGTAGCCATTTTTGGTGTGTGTTTTGTACCTTCAAAGTGTAAAATGTTGCTACAAGATTCGGTTAGCCCAACCCTCAACCTCACTCTAACTGGGTAAGTAGTACAGGAAATAGACTGATTTCGCTACCTAGGCAGCTACATCTCCCCTAGCGGACGTGTCATAGGTGAAGTATCGGCACGCATACGGAAGGCTCGGTTGGCAATTGCCGATTAGGGTCATCTGTGGCACCGTCGCGACATCCGGTTGTCTGTGAAGGGCTGAGTGTATGCTGCAGCAGTTCTGCTATACAGTGCAGAGACTTGGTCATTACGGGAACAGTATACAAATAGATTGTTGGTGTTCAAACACCGCTGTCTATGTCGCATTGCCCAAGTCTAGTGAGGAATGCGGACAAGCACTGCTGAGTTCTGGCGTAGAGTTTTAGGTAATCGCGCTCGTCCATTGGAGCAAATGGTCTACCTCCGTAGATTGTGGTGATTAGAATATGTGTTGCGCATGTTACCAGATAGGTTCCCACTGCGCGCAATGTTTGCCAAAATTGGTCAAAGGTAGTCCAAGACTTGATATGAGGGTGTGAAAACTCTAACCAGGAGACTGGGTCACATAGATACCGTTAAGCTCTCGAATGGGGACCCGGAGATCAGAGTGATCGCTCGGTAAAGACACGGTGATGTGGTGCTCTTGGATCTATTCGTTATTCTTTAAATTCCAGTCCATATGCACTCTCTACATTTCCCTTGAATTGACTCTCAACAGTCCAATCTTGATTCTGCGGTTTTATCCCAATGGGCAGCTAGAGGACAGTAACCAAAACCGGCGCACGGAAGTGCATGGTTAATGGTTATAAAACTTGAAATGGAAATTAAAACGGTTATACGAGATCATGGTGTTTGCGAAATACATCTTTATAGGAAAATGAAGCGAATGACATCAGCCATTCAAACACAGCCTATATAAGATTCTTGCGAAGTCAGAGGTTTATTCAATACCGGTTCGCCGGGTCATGGGACGAGGAGTGGGTAAACAACGGTGGAGGTATTCCTAAAAGGAACCGGGTAAAAGTGCAATTGATGCCTTGAACCAAAGTATTCACGAATGAGCCAGGAGGGACAGACTGAAACACTCAGTCCTGCACAGTACGACAAACCCGGTAACAAAGGAGGATAGCTAATTTATCTGCCGCTCGGTTCAAAAGCACGCCTCATTCAAGGAGCCTTTTGGTGTTCACCATGCCAATTCCTGAGGCTAAAGTTGCAGGGTTCCGCAGCCTAATGCGATTGTAAGAATAACTCGATCGACTATTCACATGTTTTTGTTTATTGAAGGATAAGACCATGAAAATGATGCAAAGCGAAAATATTCAAAGCAGACTGCTTACGTTTATAAAAAAATATGATGCCAATTTGAAGTGTGAGTGTCGTCTTACCTGCTGCGTATTTAACAA